TGACCTTCCTACAAGACTGTACAAAGGTGACATTGGCATCCAGTAGGACCTATAGTTTGTTAGTAGCTCACATGTGGCGAAACGAGTTGTTTCACTAAGAATTCTATTTGCCTCCTTCATTCCTGCCATTTTGGAAATGAGTTGCTGGTTTCTCTCAAAATATCTTAGGGAAAAAAATTACACATAAAACTCTATCATTCCAGCTTGTTTTAAGTATGAACTTTGATGAGTTAAACAATTCTAATCATTTGGGAAAGGGAAGCTAAAGCCCAGCCTGATAGCTGAAGGATCCAAGTGTCTGCTGTCCTAGGTCACAGGCCTGGGTGCAGGAGGAACACAGAGACACATCACAGATGAGCCCCCTGGGATCGCCCTTGGATCCACCCTCAGCATCCCATCTCAGGCCCAGACAGGCTTCCCTGGCCGCGGGCTCTGTGCTCAGCCTGCCCACCCGTCCTCCTCAAGCTCGTTATCACAGTCACCTCCAGGAGGTCTCGTAGGACTCATCCAAAGGCGATCTTTGGAACAAAATTTCGTCTTCCGGCTTCCTGTGTCTTTATTAGCTCTAAAGACGTTCATACAAGACTTTCTCTGAAAGCATGATCTCATTTTCTGTCATTACCTGTGCCTTGCTTTCCATGGTGTTGGAATAGAATGTGTTTGTTTCAGAAGAGCCTTAAAAATTTACAAAATGTCCATATTCCCAGAGGACTAGGGCATTAAGAGCTCTCTGAGCCCTCCTATTTGGCTTGATTTCCTGGGACCCATTAACACAATATTTGGTCTGTCCACAAAATGCCATATTCTGTTCAGACATAATTTGTATTGTCCAGACAGCTGGACAGTTTCCTATTTCATATCTGCTAATTGGTAGTTCAGTATACATCCTTTGTTCTCCGTTTGTATGAATTTAAAAATGTCAGTAAGTCAAAAGTAGATCAGCCCATATAAAATCAGTAATATTTGAGTGACTTTGTAAGGTATTTTACTGATCATAATTTGCTGCTATTTCTTGGGACCTCCAGTGAATGTCCACACAGAAGATAGGAAGTTGGCTTAAGACAACCACTTCCTTTTAAGAGAAACACCAAATTCACAGACATAGACACATAAGTTCACATGAGAGCAAATGCCTCTCAAATTTGCAATTTCATTGCACTCTGCACAAATGTGTCTGCTAGTAAGCATGTTGGTCAACCACATGATTATAAACAAAGGGAATTCACAGAGGCAAACATTAGTATGCAACATTTGAGCACTATCCAGAGAAAGAGGAGGCCTTCATGAACTGGCTTGGGATAAAAAGTTCCCACTAGTAAACAGGCTGATCCTATGTGACTTTTTCTAAGATACTGATGGGAAGATTCCTAGCTGACAGGTAAATTCTCTGTCACTTCTGATTCTGCTTACAGGGACTGGTTTTATTGTTGTTTTCAGTTTGGGTTTTTGGGTTTGGGTTTGGGTTTTTAACTACAAACCCCTAGAAGCTACCTTGCAGATGAGGAAATTAAAAGGGCATCTCAATGTGCTTCTCTGAATGACAAAGGCCACTTTCTTTGACCTCTGCAACATCACAGCTCTGCCTGTGTCTTGTTCACATTTTGGTGAGTGTGGCAATAATTTTCAACCTAATTTATGATCTATTTCTACTTTTAGTCAGTAGAAGATCTTGATCTTTTTCTCTGTTAGGATAGTTCAGGGGGAAAAAATCTGTATAAAGAAAAATGAGATTGAGATTTCAATTTCCCCTTTCCTGTCAAAGGTTAACTATTTTTCATAATGGTAGTGATTGATTTCTCCCATATGAAGCTGTGAGGAAATCTGCTTTGATTTGAGATTCCTGTTAAAATTTGGTGAGGATTACTCTGAAGATGAGTAGGAATAATGTGCACCTTTAGTTGTATATTACATTGTAGATTTTTCCAAAATGAAAATATTTTGTTTTTTTTTACCCCTGGTAATGCATAAAGTTTATTAAGGAAATGAGCAAATAAGCAAACAATTTATATAAAAGAAAAATCATATAATCAATATAATAATCAATATCAACAGATAATCAATATAAACAGTTTCATGGTTAAAACAAAGAATTTTTATACATATATGTATGTAGGCACAAAAGACGTGTATAAATATTTTTATATTAAAATATAAGTTGGATCATATATGCACATTTTTTTACTTTATGTGGAAAATTTTTTCATTTCACTATATAAAGATTTATATTAACCTTTTTAATGGTTGCATTGCATTGTATGTTATAAAAGTAGCCAAATATCTTAATCCATCTCCAACTTATAACCTTTATATCAGTTCCAAAATTTTTAAAATATAAGCAGGGTTATAATGAATATTTACAACCTGTTAGTCACTATAGTTCGGGTACATTGGACTTTTTCTGTTCCCAGACGTCACTAAGTCCTTCCTGCCCAGGGATTTTGTCTTTACTGTTCCCTGAGCAAGGAGCAGTCTACTTTGGCAATAGTTAGGGTGGACTTCCCTTTGTCATTTGGACTCCCCATGTGTCTCCTTGTTAGATTTTTCCTGACAATCCCATCTAAAGGACCTCCCTTCACACCAAGTGACTTTCAATCATATTACCCTGTTCATTTTCGTCATTTTACTTTCCACTATCAACAAATATTTTACTACTTTGCTCCTGTTGTTTTATGGATGGTAATCAACCATGATGTCTCCTTGCTCCTAGTCTAAAGAAATAGAGAAATAGACCCAGGAATCAGGTAGAAATTAAAAATATATGCTTTCTTAGTAAGGTTTATTGGAAAACATGATCTATAGCTTTAACAAAATGTCTCTCCAAATTAAAATCACAACCATTAGCCCACCTCCACTCCCTAAATGGGACAGTACATGCTCCTGTAGGCTTTAGCCTGAAAGAATAGAAATGCATATGACCCAAAAAGAGAGCAGAGAAGGGGCGTCCTCATTTCCAGTTTCCTGTTCTACAAATCCTATAAATAAGAGAACAGGAGAGCAGCAGGTATCCTCCTGTGTTTCCATCCAGGAGGAGAGAGATTTCTCCCCTAAATGGAAACATGAAGAGTAGATGACAAATACACCACCCAACTTCTTCACTATCTGTATCCCCTTCAGAATGCATCTACTTTCCCTCTGCTGTTCTTCCAGAGTTTAAAAGAGAGGCTGGAACAGATGATGCACTCAAGGAATATGTGTTAAAGAATTATTGAAATAGAAATTTAAATTGTAAAAAACTACTCACATACTACATTTTCAAAGTTGATAAGAGGGGGACATTGGTACATTTTTCCTGCAGGGAAGCTGGCCATAGGTATCACAAGCTTTGAAATGTCTATATATTTTAGCATCTGCAATTTGACTTTTAGAATATATCCTAAATAATCATGAACATAGACAAAACTTCAGTTTGAAAGAATATTTATCTTGATGCTAATAAGACAAATAAGAACCCCAAATTTTTCAACAATAAGAAATTAAATAAATTGTAATATAATAGAATATTGCATTAGCTTTAAATAATACCTGTAAAATATTACTTTTAATACAAGAAAAATGTTCATTATATTAAGGGAAATGTTAGTTAAAAATAGTCTCTATAATATAATCCTGATTTTAAAATATGAATTTGAGGATTCAAGTTTTTACAAAGAAAAAAATGAAATTATTTGTAAAATATTTTGTTGGATTTGAAACTACAGCCTAATTTGAAAGTAAAGATAGTTCTCAGGTTGTTTCTGGGAACAATGTGAAGAGAGGGTAAAGGGACAGCAAGCACCAGTTTACATGGTTTCGAGGCATAATGTCACCATCTGGCTGTTCCATGACCGTTTTTCCCCCTGGATAGACCCAGCCACCTCCCAGGAAGAGCTTCCTAGAAAAAAATATCCAACCAATGCCACCTGTTCCCACTCCCTGTGACCTGCTCAGAACCCATCAAAACAGCAGGGGGCAGTCAGCATGGTAGCAGGTGAAGAAGGTCTGAGGGGAGTTGATGGCCATAGGAGTTACCAAAGCTGGGAAGATACCATGATGACAATTCTGTCACACACACAGATTTTTCTGTGTATTACGTTATAAAAGGAAAAAGAGAAGACACCCAAAGAAAATACAATTACAATATAGCTGTTAATGTTAACTCATTTTCCCTTTTGAGATTCATAGTTGAGAAAGTTGCAGAAATGTCCTCCTGTTTACCTGAATTTAGGATATATACACGTGTTCATTGCATGGGGCCAAAGAATTATTTTACTTATGCCTAAATTTCAGTATCCGGTGCTGATAAAAAGTCGATAAAACTCTCAGGATAAAACTGCAAACACCGGAAATGGAAAAGAAGTACTAGAAGAAGCTTGTACAGAGGCTTAGTAGCTGAAAATGAGGGGCTTACAAAGTTATAAAGACATTATAAAAATGAGACTTTATTTAGAAGGCACTTCAAATCTGAAACAAATAGGTAGAAAAGCATCTGAGAAGGGAAATTGTTAAGTAAACAACCTATAAAGAACAGAGGGCCCTTATCACCTCCTATCTTGGACCAAGGAGACAAGCAAGCTTAGAAAACAAAACTACCTTCTGTTCCATACATTCTGTCAGGGCATCTCTCTTCTAACTACCTTAATAATCAAGACTCTCACCCTTGAAAGGAAGCCAGAGCACTTTAATTCTCCAAAACAACATATGTGTGCATGTATGTATGTGTATGCTATTAGGTACTGTATATAATAATGTGTAATATTATCTTGTAATATATTTTATTTGCAGTAAATTAGATACAGATATAGCCTATCATTCCATTGATGGAAGGGGAATTTTTTTCTGATTTATATTAGCACACTGAGTTTTTTAGAGATATCTAAAAGTAAATGACAGAAAATCGATCCAGAGTAATATATTTCTAAATGTTCATTCTGTAACATTTAGTGCTATTTTGAGGCTTGATTACCCTAGAGCTCTGACCTTCCTGTTGTGAATGTGGACTTGTCAGTCTCTGCCATAGGAGCATGGGAGGCAACCAGACATGGATCACAGAAGTCACTCTGCTGGGATTCCAGGTCGATCCAGCACTGGAGCTCTTTCTCTTTGGACTTTTCTGCCTCTTCTATATGTTCACCCTTCTAGGGAATGGAGTCATCCTAGGGCTTATCTGCTTAGACTCTAGACTGCACACCCCCATGTACTTCTTCCTCTCTCACCTGGCCATTGTTGACATGGCCTATGCTTCCAACAATGTCCCCAAGATCCTGGCAAATCTTGTGAATCTGAAAAGAACCATCTCCTTTGTTCCTTGCATTATGCAGACTTTTTTGTATCTGGCTTTTGCTCATATAGAGTGCCTGATTTTGGTCATGATGTCCTATGACCGGTTAGTGGCAATCTGCCATCCCCTACATTACACTGTCATCATGAACTGGAGAATGTGCATGGCCCTGGCTGTGACTTGCTGGGTGTTTAGCTTCCTCTTGGCTCTGGTCCATTTAATTCTCATCCTGAGGCTGCCCTTCTGTGGGCCTCATGAAATCAACTTCTGTGAAATCCTGTCTGTCCTCAAGTTGGCCTGTGCTGACACCTGGCTCAACCAAGTGGTCATCTTTGTGGCCTGTGTGTTTATCTTACTGGGGCCCCTCTGCTTGGTCCTGGTGTCCTACTCACGCATCCTCTTTGCCATCCTGAGGATCCGGTCCGGGGAAGGCCGCAGAAAGGCCTTCTCCACCTGTTCCTCCCACCTCTGTGTGGTGGGGCTCTTCTTTGGCAGTGCCATTGTCATGTACATGGCCCCCAAATCCCACCACCCTGAGGAGCAGCAGAAGATCCTTTCCCTGTTTTATAGCCTTTTCAACCCTATGCTGAACCCACTGATCTATAGCCTGAGGAATGCAGAGGTCAAGGGTGCCCTGAGGAGAGCCCTGTACAAGCAGAGGCACATGTGAAGGATAACAAAAATCAACATAGTGAGGGGTACTCTGCTCCCCATGAAATATGGTAGATGGCATTTTTTCACCTTATGCTATAATAAATGCCACATTAAGACAGAATATTTTAGACCTAAACATACAACCTGAAGCCATGTAGACTTTAGAAAATAAAATAGATGAATACCTTCATGACTGTATGTATGCAAAGATTCTTAGAGATGATTCAAGAAGCACAAGACATAGAATTTGAAGAATTGATAAATATTAGGCCTTTTCAAGATTAATCCTTCTGACCAAAGTCACCTTGAAGAAACAAGAAATGCAAATCACAGATGAAGTGTTTTATATTTTTTAAATGCAATGGTGAGTTGGGTATGTCCACATGAGGAGACACAGGGAAATGTTAGGGAAACACAAAGTTTGTTGTCCTCATAGGTCCTGGAGAAGGGGGCATGCACGCCTTGCAAGGCCGTGTAGGAAAGACACCAGGGTGCTCAGGAGACAGAAGACAGGATTAAGGGAAGGTTTACATCATTGCCTTCATGGGCATTTCCACAGAAAACACCCAATAAAGGGTTGTATAAGAACAAGCTGGAGTTCCTATAATAGGCAAATCTTTGCTATGTACAGAAAGGGCATCATGGAGACTGATGGTCCAGGAGAATTCTAAAGCCAAGATTTTCTGTGATCTTCAGAGTGTGAGTTACCTTACTTCCAATAATCTCCTTTAAATCTGTCTGGCTTCATGGGGCAACTGGGTGGCTCAGTCATTAAGCATGTGCCTTTGGCTCAGGTCATGATCCCAGGGTCCTGGGATCAAGCCCCAGGTTGGGGTCCCTGCTGAGCAGGCAGCCTGCTTCTCCCTCTCCCTTTGTTGCCCCTCTACTTGTGCTTTCTCTCTCTCTGTCAAATAAATAAATAAAATCTTTAAAAAAATAAATAAATCCATCTGGCTTCTCTTCTGCCTTGAGCTATAGAGTGCTATATAATAGTATGTCCTGCTGTTAGCCCTTTCTTTCTCAAAAATCAACATGCCCAATTCTGACATTCATACAACTGGGATGGATTTCCTCTCAGGTCTGCCAATCTCCTGGTATTAAAAAAGAATTATAATAAACCATTTTCAAATGAACAGCTTACAGTTGTAAACTTCAAAGTCATGAAATGTTGAATCTCTGATCTCTAAAAACAAAAACAAAATGAAAATACCTTTTAAACCCTGACTGATAAACTAGATAATCTCTTCAGATCTCAAAGTAAATTTCTAAAATACACTGCCCCCAACTATGATAATAAAGTAAAACAAACAAACAAAACCCAATCCTTTGTCACCAAATTGTAATTACCAAAGGTGAAAACAGTAATGGGGCTTTTCAGTACAACTGCTGAGAAGGGAAGTTTCATGAGGCATCCACAGCCATGCTGTGGTGATAGAGACTCCAGGCCCTATTGAGAGCATTTTCAAAGAGCAACAAAGCCAATGAGTTTTTTTATTATTATTATATTCAGTTAGCCAGCATATAGTACATCATAAGTTTTTGATGTAGTGTTCAACGATGCATTAGTTGTGTATAACACCCAGTGCTCATCCCAACACATACCCTCCTTAATATCCATCACCCAGTTATCCCATACCCCCAGCCCCTCCCTTCTGTAACCCTCAGTTTGTTTTCTGGAGTACAGAGTCTTTCATATTTGTCTCCCTCTCTGATTTCTTCCCAGTTTTCCCTCCTTTCCCCTGTGGTCCTCTGCCCTATTCCTTATGTTCCACATCTGACTGAAAACATATGATAATTGTCTTTGTCTGCTTGACTTATTTCACTTAGCATAATCTCCTCCAGTTCCTTCCACGTCAATGCAAAAGGTGGGTATTCATCCTTTCTGATAGCTGAGTAATATTCCATTGTATATATGTACCACCCCTTTATCCATTTGTCTGTTGAAGGTTATCTAAGTTCTTTCCACAGGTTGGCTATTGTGGACATTGCTGCTATGAATATTGGGGTGCATGTTCCCCTTCTTTTTACTACATCTGTATCTTTGGGGTAAATACCTAGTAGTGCAATTCCTGAGTCATAGGGTAGCTCTATTTTTAACTTCTTGAGGAACATCCATACTGTTTTTGAGTGGCTGCACCAGCTTGCATTCCCACCAATAGTGTAAGAGGGTTCCCCTTTCTCCACAATCTCGCCAACATTTGTTTCCTGTCTTGTTAATTTTGGCCATTCTAACTGGCATAAGGTGGTATATCATTGTGGTTTTGAGTTGTATTTCCTGATGGCTAGTGATGTTGAACATTTTTTCATGTGTCTGTTAGCCATTTGTATGTCTTCTTTGGAGAAGTGTCTGTTCATGTCTTCTGCTCATTTCTTGACTGGATTATTTGTTTTTTTGGGTGTTGAGTTTGATAAGTTCTTTATAGATCTTGGGTATCAGCCCTTTATCTGACATGTCATTTGCAAATATCTTCTCCCATTCCATGGATTTCCTCTTAGTTTTGTTGACTGTTTGCTGTGCAGAAACTTTTTATCTTAAGGAAGTCCCAAAAGTTCATTTTTGCTTTTGTTTCCCTTGCCTTTAGAGACGTGTCTTCAAAGAAGTTGCAGGGGCCAATGTCAAGGAGGTTGCTGCCTGTGTTCTTCTCTAGGATTTTGATGGATTCCTGTCTCACATTGAAGTCTTTCATCCATTTTGAGTTTATCTTTGTGTATGGTGTAAGAAAATGGTCTAGTTTTATTCTTCTGCCTGTGGTTGTCCAGTTTTCCCAGCACCATTTATTGAAGAGACTGTCTTTTTTCCATTGGATGTTCTTTCCTAATTTGTCAAAGATTAGTTGACCATAGAGTTGATGGTCCATTTCTGGGGTCTCTATTCTGTTCCATTGATATATGTTTCTGTATTTGTGCCAATACTATACTGTCTTGATGACTATGGCTTTGTTATATAGCTTGAAGTAAGGCATTGTGATGCTCCCAACTTTGATTTTCTTTTTCAACATTCCCGTGGCAATCCGGGGTCTTTTCTTTCCTGATTAAAACTCTTCAAAGTGTAGGGATAGAGGGAACATACCTCAATATCATAAAAGCCATCTATGAAAAGCCCACAGAGAATATCATTCTCAATGGGGAAAAACTGAGAGCTTTTCCCTTAAGGTCAGGAACATGACAAGGATGCCCACTCTCACCATTATTGTTCAACATAGTAATAGAAATCCTACCCTCAGCAATCAGACAACAAAAAGAAATAAAAGGCATTCAAACTGGCAAAGAAGAAGTCAAACTCTCTCTCTTCACAGATGACATAATACTTGATGTGGAAAACCCAAAAGACTCCACCCCCAAGTTATTAGAACTCATACAGCAATTCAGCAACTTGACAGGATACAAAATCAATGCGTGGAAATCAGTTGCAGTTCTATACACTAATAATGTAACTGAAGGAAGAGTAATTAAGGAATCAATTCCATTTACAACAGATCCCCAAACCATAAGATACCTAGGAATAAACCTACACAAAGAGGTAAAGAATCTATACTCTAGAAACTATAGAACACTTACGAAAGAAATTGAGGAAGACACGAAGAGATGGAAAAACATTCCATGCTCATGGATTGGAAGAATAAACATTGTTAAAATGTTTATGCTGCCCAGAGCAAGTTACACTTTCAATGCAATCCCTATCAAAACCCATGAGTTTTGTTTTTTTTTTTTTTAAAGATTTTATTTATTTTACAGGGAGAGACACAGCGAGAGAGGGAACACAAGCAGGGGAGTGGGAGAGGGAGAAGCAGGCTCCCCACTGAGCAGGGAGCCCGATGCGGGGCTCGATCCCAGGACCCTGGGATCATGACCTGAGCCGAAGGCAGACGCTTAACGACTGAGCCACCCAGGAGCCCCAACCCATGAGTTTTTAAGATGCGTGAAGGTCATCAGCTGGGAGGAAAAGGAACTGCTCTGAATAACACCAGGTCCTCATTGATATATAATGACACACAATAAAAACTAACTTCAGCACAAGCCTTTAAACTGAGGTAGGGTAACTGGTTTTGTCTTCAAATGATTGGAACTCAGAAATCAGTGAACCGTGGCTAATTGTAAGGACACCTGTCATTGTAATAATCTGGTGTATGGACAAGGGCCAAATCTATTGGAATGTCACAGCAAATACTTCTGTAATTCTTACTGATTTGTTTTGTATTGAAACTGAATTGTACCATGACTGTACTCTGCTGTGGGGTACCATTGGCATTATTGAAAAAATTCAACCACCTTATGGAAATAAATGATATGTCAATGCTGATACTGATGACCAAATGTATTGGGAGATCACGTTAAAGCCTCCTCAAGTTGTAATACCAAAGGAAAATGGCTGGTCTGGGGAAGCACTAGAGTTGGCTAACCATCAGCTCATTTCTATGCTAAATAGCTCTGCTCAAGGTTATTACAAGGTACAAACAACATAGCTCCAAGGGGAGCAAGTAATCAAATTAGTACAAAAATGTGAAAATGTATGCCATGGCTTTCTAGGATATCACTGTTTCTTTGAGTCTATCCCTAGTCTCCACTGGCTCCTCCAAATATGGGGCATATTCATGCTCTTGCTGTATCTACCCTATTAAGTAAAACATTGCTGTACCTGCTACCTAAGTGCTCTTTAAATGTAGATGCTCAGAAAAATACGGTCATTTTGCTGTAAGAGCACCTAGGCTGAGGTCCAGGTGTGTGGACTGTGCAATAAAAAAGGGTTAACTCAGTTAAATTTGTATAAGTTAGGAATTAAAAGGAACTTTAAAATATTCTGATCCTAACAGTTAGAGTGAGCCACAGAACTGGAAATTGTGTCCCTCTGAGTTGGGACTCAGAATTACTTTGATAATTAGGGGTAGGAGTCCTGGAGGCACATGTGGCAGATGATGAAGAGCAGTGACAGGATAGCATGTGTCTGAGGAAAAACACGGGATCCAAGGGCTGCTCCTTAGTTAAGAGAAAAGACTGCAGGTGGCAGGATTCTCAAGA